AGGCATTACCACGTATACACACTGAGAGTAATGACCTGTTTACCACGTATACACACTGAGAGTAATGACCTGTTTACCACGTATACACACTGAGAGTAATGACCTGTTTACCACGTATACACACTGAGAGCAATGACCTGTTTACCACGTATATATACACACTGAGAGCAATGACCTGTTTACCACGTATATATACACACTGAGAGCAATGACCTGTTTACCACGTATATATACACACTGAGAGCAATGACCTGTTTACCACGTATATATACACACTGAGAGCAATGACCTGTTTACCACGTATATATACACACTGAGAGCAATGACCTGTTTACCACGTATATACACACTGAGAGCAATGACCTGTTTACCACGTATATACACACTGAGAGCAATGACCTGTTTACCACGTATATACACACTGAGAGCAATGACCTGTTTACCACGTATATACACACTGAGAGCAATGACCTGTTTACCACGTATATACACACTGAGAGCAATGATCTGTTTACCACGTATATACACACTGAGAGCAATGATCTGTTTACCACGTATATACACACTGAGAGCAATGATCTGTTTACCACGTATATACACACTGAGAGCAATGATCTGTTTACCACGTATATACACACTGAGAATAATGACTTGTTTACTACGTATATACACACTGAGAATAATGACTTGTTTACCACGTATACACACTGAGAGTAATGACCTGTTGGTTTTATTGTTATAAATGTTTCTCCACAAAGCCATGCAGGCTACATTGTTGTGAAACTAGCACTTCTGCTTCTGTAGGTCCTACATAAATTGGTTTTGTTGTTATAAATATTTCTCCACAAAGCCATGTGAAACTAACACTTCTGCATCTGTAGGTCCTACATAAATTTGTTTTGTTGTTATAAATATTTCTCCACAAAGCCATGTGAAACTAACACTTCTGCTTCTGTATGTCCTACATAAATTGGTTTTGTTGTTATAAATATTTCTCCACAAAGCCATGCAGGCTACATTGTTGTCCTCTTCCATTAAGAGCTGCAGCACTGATGGCTCGTACGGGTCCAGTAGTGACTTTGGAAGTAGCGAAGCAAGCAGTGTTTTACCATGGTCTCGCAGCTTTACTGACCCAGCAGTCTCCTCTCTTACCCAAAGGTAAGAATTAAAGAGGAAAGATAATTGACTTACAGTATACAAACATGAGGTTCACATAAAGAATTAGATAATATTGTTTAATGTATATATATACGTACAGACTTTTAGTAAATAATTTAAAACTCCTCTCACAAGCTAGCAGAACCAAACTTTGCAAATGGACTTGATTGCTAGGGGTGAATTTTTTTTTGGACATGGAACCATCGTTGGTAACCATGCACAACTGGGGATAATGGAGATGCTTGAATGGTGCACTGGGCTTCTGTGAATGATGGGGAGGAGGGGGGGGGTGTGGACCCTGCAGCAGAATGTGGGAATATTTTTGGTAAAAGAGTAGCTTAATGAATTTCTTTGAATAAATGTTTGTAGTTTCAGTTTATAAATGTTTTGTATTTTTTCAAAAACTAACAGCTTTATTAAAAGTTCTTGTTTTTTTACCATATTTAACGTTCAGGATATATATTAAAATAAAAAAACTGGAAGAATAACTCCTGGTGATTTAAAAACAAAACTGGAAATTGAAAATGAAGAAGAAATGAGTTAAGTCTTTTATGTTTTACAATAAAGATACTTTTTTTTTTGCAAGATTGTGCATTTAAGTAGATATTTACTTCATGCTGAAACAGTTGTGATTAAGGCTTGCATACTAAACATATTATAAATGATGTCATTAATAACTAATTTTGTTTTTTTATGTTTCTTGTTTTTTGGAGATGAGTTTGTTAAGTATGATATAATTTGAAATATACAGGCAGAACACTTCCTGGTTCTCGATACTTGAGTGAGCGAGACATTCCGAGTCGAGTACAATGTGAACGAGCTCCTGAACTTTACAAAAATCCTCCACCTCTTGGTATTCATAACAGCACAAGTGTTCCTTCTCTAGCAAGTTAGTATAGTCTTCCATGAAAGTTCCGTACAGTTTACAGATTAATATATAGATCTGTTTGAACTTTTGTAAACCCTTTAAGGTAATACTTAAAAATTATTTTTTTAAATGCTTTCTTTTTGGAGTTAATCCCAGAATACTGTTCTTTGTATGCGAGTGGAATTGATTTTATTTCATTTGTTTTGCTGTTCAACATTTCATCTGTGGAAATAAAACTGCCCAACAAACAACATCAACCAAACATTTTCCTTTTTCTTGTAAGAGAAATGAACAATGTAATCAGGTATTTACCTATAAGACATTCTTCTGGATTGTTTAGTCAGAAAAACAAGCTGTGAATACAGACGTACAGAATTAAGTAACTTATTTAATTACCAATGTATTTTATTCCTCAGTTCTTTAATCATTTCACCGCACAATTAATTTTCAGGCTGATTCTCAAAAAGTGTTAATTATCCACATAGAAATACCTTCTATTGGTAATTTCAAAGCCTCTATCACATATCAGAATATAAGAGAATGTATACTATAATTCCTGAAAGTCACTGATAAGTATAACAAATGTAACACATAAGTAACTCCCCTATAAAGCAATAAAATCGGCTCCAAAACACAGAGTTAAAGCATGCGTCATCACGTAGTCAATCTACTGAAGCATATAAATATCCAGGTTTTACGGCGTAGAACACAGATGGCAGCAAGCACGCAGGTTTGGCAATCGTTTCAAGTATAGGGGGGGATGTCACAGTAGAGAGAAACTTTCTTTGGTAGCCATGGGGTAAATCCGAATTTCACAGTCACTGGGTATAAATGTTTATTCGGATATATCCGAACTATGCAGCAAAAGGGTTAAGTAAACTAAGGATCCTGCATTCTCTGAAGAAGCTTGATTTGTTGCTTTTGGTACAATTATTTCCATAACAGGGTTTGCATTTGTGAAACTGAAATTGTTTGATTGAAAATATAAGAATAAAATAATTAGTTAAAAGAAATTTAATAATTAATATTTTATCCTTTTTTTATATTTTTCTTAGCTGCTCCTGTAAAGTTGTGCTACTGTTACATTATAAAACTATTATTATTATTAGTTTTGTTACAGTTATCTTTATCTGATTCCAAAATGTGATTTTGAAAAATTTCGTTAAGAGTTAAAATATATGCTTGTAAAGGTTTAACTTTAGGAATTAATAGGCACATGTTGTGTAACAGTGGAATATATTAGTACTTTATTTGTATGTATATGAATAGCTACTGATTTAATTCTTATGATATTTCTTTGTAAGTTCCACTTTTGTTTCTTTCAGCTGGTCAGTTTCCTGCAGAAACGCTCAAACAGTCATCCACAGGTAATTTATCATCGCAAGCTGTCCACTATGGACCCTCGTCATTCAACTCTTCCATGCTTAAAAACACGGAGTATGGGAGTTTGAGTCAGGAGACCAAACCAGTTGTTAGCCAGAAGCATGGTGATGCCCCCACAGAACGTGGGCCTCCCCCTTACACCCTTCTTATTCATCCCACTTACCAGAATCACTTGGAGCAACAACAGCCTCGAGTTCCTGAAGAACACCATTACCAGAACTCCATTGTGTATCAACAACAGCCTCCTCCAGCACGGTCAGTGTCAACTGAGATTTTATCTGTTTGAAGTGAAGAGACAGTCAGAATTGTTTTTGAGGGTTATGTGCTGATAAATTTTATTTAACAACAGTTGCAGTAATTATCACAATGCATGTAATTACTAGTAACACAAAGCCTATGTTAAACAGCACTGTCAAACTATATTTTAAGCTATTTTATGAACTTTAGAAATCACACTGTTCTGAAGTAATGACTTTTAACACAGTTTGATATTCTAAAGAAATATGAGTAGCAGGTAATTGTAAGGAATAATTTCCATTGAATATTTGCTTCATAACAGCTGAAATCCTGAAAAAAATGACTACCTCATCAAACAATCGGGTGGCCGTAAATGTTACTCCTCGGTAGCAGAACTTTTGATTTTTTTTTAAGTTGTTAAATACTTTTCATTAGCTGCAGACTTACACATCACACAGTTATCAAACATTGACATTTGTCAGCTAAATATAAATTAAATTACTTCATACTTCGTTGTTGTATCTGTTAAAAGATTTATGTAAATAACGAACTGTCTGTGTATTGTATTAAATATCTCAAAAAGTAAGAGTGGCGTACTGAAACGGCACGTTTTTCGCAGGCCGCCTCCTCAACGAGTGCATCCACCTCAAGTTCATCACGGCTCCTACTCTTCCCTTCATCATTCAGAGCAAAGACAGCAAGTCCCACAATTTCCTGTCGATCATAATCGGCCGCTGTCAACCCTAGTGTCGTCCAGGGAGCAAGAGCAGTATACTAATTCCATCAACTTTCAACAGGTGCTGCCACCTACTTCATCTCATGGGCAACAGTACAGAATTGACCACCTAAATGAACTTAAGGACTCGAGGTGATCAGTTTTTCTCATAACATTGTTTGAACTAATTTAATACTTTTTGTTTACAAAGGAGTTAATGCGTTTTTTTATTTATTTGTTGTGATACAGTTAGACATTAAATTAAATATATATTTTACACAGTTTAACTCAATGCCTTCAAGTTTAACATTTGAAGCTAATTTCTTTTGTATTTAGTGTTATTTGGAATGCGTTTGCAAACAGATAAGAAAAAATTATGGAGTTTAATATTCTTTTGTAGGAGGAATGGACCATATGATGAATTCAATCCACAAGGTGAACCTCGTCAAGTCACGTATGAAGGAAAAGGTTTTCCGGGAAATTACAAGGTCATTCTTCCTAGCCAATCATATCCAGTGGAAGTTAGACATCAAGATCTTCGAGACCAGGCAAAGATGGAAGAAATACAGGAAGAGGTACGACGCCAAGAGGAATGGGGAATGCAGGGACCTAATAATATGTCTACTCATATGATAAGATCAAGACCACAACAGCATTTTGTTAGCCAACCTGTTAACCAATATGATAGTTTTCGTCCTCAAGGACAACAACCCCAACCAGCCCCATATACTCAGTATCGAATGAACCAAGTTTTTCCACCAAACAGAGCACAGAAGCCTATTATGCATGGAAGAGAAACAATAATCGATAATACTTTGTCGCAACCTTCACTTCAACCACACTTTCAATATGGAGCTACAGAAACCTTGAATTCTAAGTATCAGATACAAGCCAACAAGGTTTGTGAACTAGAATTTCAACAAACGGGAATTCGTCACGGACAACCCGAGTCATATAAGTAAGTAAGATATCCAAAAAATGTCATTAAAGACTGAGTATAAAAACTACAGGCGTAAAAGTTATATATAAAATTTTAGAGATGAAATAACTCATTAAATTAACAAGTTTTGTAAAAGACGTGTTTGTTTATATAGACCAGTTTTAGTAATTAGAAATCCTTTTAAAATCATGATGGTATAGGCATGTAACAACTTGTTTGGTCAGTTGTTTAATAAATATACAAATTAATTTGTCTGATTGGTCAGTCTGGTCAACAAGACCCATTCTGAAGAAACATCCAGTCAACATCCACCCTTACGGGATAAAGAACATAACAGGATTACTTGGGATCAAGAAGCAAAGGAAAGCGTAAGATTAATTTATTTTATATTTTTGGAATCCTAATTTTAACTGAGTTTGGGTTTTTAGGGTTAATTTAATGACATTTCAGTCTTTAATAGTTTTGCTTAGTATCGTTCTCAGGGTTGTCATTAGCTTTTTTTTTTTTCAGATAGGTTGTGGAACTGTTAAAAATTATAATAAAAGCTGTAATAAAAATGAAGAAAACAGGAAAGGTGAAAACATAATGGAGTGAAAAATATTGTTGTCTTTGTTGAAATCAAACTGAACGAGTACAGTTTGCCATCTGGTCTTTGCTCAAACAATTTGTTTTCCACACGATCTTCATCCAATCAATTTTTTTGTTTCTGTTTTGACAATTGAATCCCTGCTCAGTTGGATAATCAATATTACTTGATCAAGAATTTCAAACTTAGGCTTAGGGAAAATGTTGATGTAACTGGCGATCATGATCTTACTCTTGGTGAAATGTACTTATGATTACACAGGCCTGCAAACTTAAACTTCATAAAAATTGTTTTGGTTTTGATAACACATTTTCTATAATTCACCTACACAAGTTTCGAAAATATTCTTTTTTTTGTCAAAACTACTTGTTGTGGTCTCTTTTTTTATGTATTGCATTATGATGTTTTGTGAAAAATCTGTATATAATGGAGAAAAATGGATATCTTTTTCGAATTCAGCGTACAGGAATTACCGTAGAACATATAAAAAATATCGCCAGTAAAACCATTGCAGGCCTGTGTTATTATCCAGTCAGGTTTTTCCAAATCTATCTTAAATATATATATATATATTGACACCAACCATGTAGGAAACTGTTTCTTTACTTACCGATATATTGGTGTTATTACGTTGGCAGCTGGAAACCTACCTTTTAAAGAATCCAATAAATAGCTCCACAAAGTTTTTATTCTTCACAACTTCAGCATCAACATCCCTGAAATGACCATCAACAGTAATATTTCCTGATTAAAAATGCTCTTTTGCCATTGGGTTTTGTAGTAAATACTCTAGGCTTCCAGTTATATGATTCCACCATTGGCTGGATTGTTGGTTGATAAATAGACAATTGGGAAAAACATCCACAATCAAGTATATTGTGGTGAAAAGTGATGGTTTTACTAAGCCTTGCCCTTGCTGTGTTATTGACTTTTCTAACTGAAAGTTTCGATGTTTCCAATGAAACTGCCTATGTTTAAACCATGAATTTCTATTAGATGTATTTGGGAATGTTCGATATTGTTTTGCTGTACATAGTTCAGAAGAGATGTGTGAAGCTTGTTTGGTTTTGTTGTCAGTGAATGTTAGATAAATAGTCAGAACCAAAACATTATTTCTTTCAGGATACAATGGAGAGATTGGGGAACTTGGAGCAAATGCATGGGATGCAAAGTGACTTGGAACTTGCTAAACAGCAAAGAATGAACTGGGAAAAGAATCAATTGCTAAAACAACAGCAACAGTTACATCAGCAACAGCAGTTACAAAAGCAACAGCAGCTCCACCAACAACGACAACAGCAACTACAGCATCAGCAGCTACCAGAACAACATCAATTACAACATTTACCACAGCAGCTACACCAACAACGACAACAGCAACTACAGCATCAGCAGCTACCAGAACATCATCAATTACAACATTTACCGCAGCAGCTACAGATTCAGCGAGTACAACAACAGCATCAACAGCTACCACAACATCAACAATTACAACAACAGCAGCTACCACAACATCAACAGTTACAACAACAGCATCAGCAGCTACCACAACATCAACAATTACAACAACAGCATCAGCAGCTACCACAACATCAACAGTTACAACAACAGACTAGGGCTAGACTACCCCCTCGGGACCAGTGGACAATGTTTCATCATGAACAATATCAGTATCAAATTGAGGTACAGTGAATAATTTTCATTACCATTTCACTGTCAAATGATAAGACCTTTATTTATCAAAAGAAATCTTAATGCCTTATCACCCAGAACTTTTCAAATAATTGAATTTGATTGGTCAAGAAAAGCCGCCAAAAATGATGTTATTATTTTACTAACTCAAACTACATCATCATGTGACTGGTGATGTGGACGTACATTTTTGAAATGCTTTTAAATTAAAATTCATCACCATGTGTCTGGTGATGTGGACGTATATTTTCGAAATGCTTTTAAATTAAAATTATTTATTTTTGGTATTGAGCTGTAAAAACTAAGAACACAGCTGTTTTTATTTCTATCTAGTAAAGTTTAAACCTTTGCTTATTTTAGGGACTAACTTGATAAGCCCACTATTTCTATGCCCAAGAATTGTGTGGGCATACTTTGATAAGTGTTTTACAATATGTGTCCTCTAGCATATGGTGTGTTGTCTTTCTTCAGGAAAACTGACAATAAATCAATAAAATGTAAGTTTTTGATATTGTATTCAACTTACCTTGCTTCCTGGGATTAAAAAATGCATTGTTGTGAACAGATTGATATATTTTATACAGTTGGTTTGTTTAAGATAAGTTGAAAACGTTCATCTTTTTTTTATAAATGCTAAAAATGAGATGGGGAGGGGATGAGCTGTTTTTGCTGTACGTCATATGCAACAATTTTCTGAAGTTTAGTTATGCCACATACTCGACTTTGTAATTCTGCAAAATTTTATGAGAACACTGGAAGTCTGTAATGTGGTTAGCTGGCATTACACACTTTCTGATAACTACAAAGAATTTGTCATTGTTTTGTCACAGCTTTAAAAAATAAAACTTATTCTTTTGTATATTATAGTTTGTATATCTGATGGAGTGGAGTATTTCTAAGTTTAAACAAAAATGTAATTTCTTTTATGTTTACATTGATACTGAAATCTCCGTTTAATTAATAATATAAAACAGATTATTATTACAAGTTCACAATAATCATTTAAATAACCTAAAATTGAATTTGTATAGCATCTGTTTAATTATGAAAAAAAAAATCCAGTCCGTTACTTTTCTGATTTTTCACTTGCTTGGTCTGATCCGTTTGTTTCCTAGGATCAAGTAGAAAGACTATCCAACCTGCAGCTAGAGGAGATGAACAGAATCCCAAAATTTGAAATGGTTAAGGAGCCAGAGACGCAACTCTTACAAGAAGCTTGTCAAAAGCAGGCACGTATCTTTGTTTGAATAATCATCTAGATTTTTCTTAATTTTGATACCCACCAACTGAAAAGGTTTGGAGGATGACGACGTCCGTCCATTTGTACATCCCTACTTTCTGCAGGATAACTAGATTTCAAAAAAATAGATTTTAATAAAATTTTGGGGGTTAAAGGTCACTATTTGTTTCTTGTTTCTGCACATACTGTAGATATGAATACACCAAAACAGACAAACAAACAAAGCGAATGGTCCAGGTGGGGATCAGCCATTCAATAAATGCTTGTTTTTTCATTTTTCTTCTATATTTTGAATATGGGTTACTAATAGTGTTGTAACAAAACCTTGTGTGTTACTTTGCTCATGGAAAACAGTTTATAGAGTTCTGAAACTGAAATACAGAGGTGCTGTAGATTAAAATTAAATATTAAACAGCTATATTTCTTAAATTTGGGACCACATGAGGCCGAGGAGTTAGCATGTTAGGCTGCAGATCAGGAGGTCCAGGGTTCAAACCATGATACGCACTTCACTTTTGGATTTGGAGCTGTTATAACCATGACAGTCAATCTTGCTGTTCTGATAAGAGTATCCAACTGAGTGGTGGTTGGGGGGATGACTACTTGACCTTTGACCTGGCCACTACAAGTAGTGCCATTCAGATTGAGAATACCAAACTCTTAATTTTATAAAATTTTATTTAGTAAACACAAACACACATCAAGAAAGTATGATTTCCTATTGAAGTATACAAGTATACTTAACCCTACAAGTTCAGTGATTGATTGAACTTAAGGTTTTTGAAGTGTGGTTTGAGTAGATGTTCATTGAAAGTGACTAATATATCAATATTCAGGAAAGATTTTTAAATCAAAGATATGACAACATTTTTGTAATATTTCGTTTTTAATAATTTTTAACGAGAAGCTTAATAAATGCTTTATGGTACCACTGAAACAACTTATTGAGTAAAGGCATCTATTGTAAGTGGTTAAGAAATACAAGAAAGTCGTATATTTTTAATGTGAATGTAGTTTTGTGACGTAAAATGTATTTTTTTTTCACCCAGCATGAACGGAATAACAGAATGAACCACCAACCATCTGATGTTCCGATTCAAGGTTGCATCCCTCCCACCGTATCAATTACAGAAGACCAAAACTCTTCTCAGAGGTTTCAGTCCCCTATTTCTTCAGGGGCCATGACATTAGAACAACAAGGGGTTATTTTGGAGGAGAATCATCATCTGCCTACTAGCTATTCATCAGGACACCTATCGTCGGAGAGGCAGTCGTCTTTTGAAGAAATTAGCCAGTTTCCAAATAGCAATATACAACAAGTCACTGAAGCAAAAAATCGCATTATTCCACACGCACCCAAAAAGGTATCTTTCCAAGAGCCTACCATTATTACGGAACATTTGGAATCAAACGATAGTGAATTCAACATTGATCAAGCTCAACCATCTCCTTCCGATTCATACACGTTAGATGATATTGATGAAGAGCTTATACAATCGCAATCCCAGCAGCCTCGATATGAATGTGGAATCACTCCTGGTGTTATTGGGGCTCAGGAGGTCTATCGAGATCCCAGACAGAGGATCCAGGCTCAAAGAAGTCGCCAGCAACAAGCTCAACCAGCGAAACCAGAGAAACTCAGTTTTCAGCAAAAGATGAAAATGTTTGCTGTGAGTGAAGGACAGATGGAGCCACCCAAAGAAAGAGTTCAAAGCTCTAAAGCAGAGAGAGAAATAGAAGAAAACATACAGGGAAAAGAATCAACATGTTAGATTCCCTTTTTTGTATAAGCATAAGCTGGTGTGAGTAACTTGTGTAAAGGTTTCCTTGTTGTCATTTTTAAGAGAATTATTTGTGCATTTTTAAAAGTGTGACCAGTCCTTTATACATTTTTTTTTCATAATGTCTGTGCTGAGTATTTTGAATCACTTTTTTTTTCAGATCTATTAGTTATTGATGAGAGATTTCAAGTTACCTTTGTCATTCTAACTTTGGCTTGAATAACACTAACTCGTAAACGACTAAACGATTCTTTTTTTTTATATTTTGTGAATATAAGTGATAAATATAATGCTACAGATTGTGTATTACAAAGATCAGGATATATTATTTTTTTATTCATATTATATAGCGGCTTCTTCTTCTTCTTTTGTATAATCGTTTAAGGTTTATATTTTAGTGGAACGTATTTTTATTGCGTAATGAATATTTTAACACAAAGCGGAAGTGATATCTTAGACAATCTTTTACTAGATGAACAGTCGTGTATTATCCAGGGCTTTAATTACGTTTTTATGATTGTATTTTGTACAATAAGAGTATCCATAGCTTAGCAATTCCAATTTTGCTTGTGTATGAAACTAATTGCTGAGTAATGTTTTTCCTATGAAATACAACGATATACAAAAACTGTACATCACCATTATTTTTTTAAGGCCTGTCCTTACTGTTGATTGACACGTGTCACAACAGGATCACTTATACTGTCCTCACAGTTGATTGACACGTGTCACAACAGGAACACTCCTACTGTCCTTACAGTTGATTGACACGTGTCACAACAGGAACACTCCTACTGTCCTTACAGTTGATTGACACGTGTCACAACAGGAACACTCCTACTGTCCTACAGTTGATTGACACGTGTCACAACAGGAACACTCCTACTGTCCTTACAGTTGATTGACACGTGTCACAACAGGAACACTCCTACTGTCCTTATAGTTGATTGACATGTGTCACAAGAAGATTACTCATACTGTCCTTACAGTTGATTGACACGTGTCACAACAGGAACACTCTTACTGGCCTTACAGTTGATTGACACGTGTCACAACAAGATCACTCCTTTAGTTTAATGACATCCCTGATCAATTATTAGAACACAATAAAAGCAGAGAATTAGTGAAATATAACCATGTCCTAAAAGATATCAAGGACGGGGATTGGAAATATGGTGATTCTGCACTGGTTAATATCGTACTGGTTTACAAGATAAGAAAAATTTTCATTACTTCAGCCATCTTTCCTATTAAGAATTGTTGCGTTTCAAGTTTTGCAATACAAAGAAGCTGGTCATCATTGTAAGAAAGCTGGTCATCATTGTAAGAGGAAATTGGAGGACATGAAAATGTACAGAAGCATAACGTGTATTCTAATGTATATATATATAGTGTGAACTTACATTTATTTGTGCCTATTAGGATGTTTTTATGAAGTAAAGACGAGCTGTTAATAAAGAAAATAGTATAATTTATGTAACCTTTGGATATTATCATGTTGTGTAATGTTTATCCAATCGCTTGGGTAATAAAGAAGCAAAGGAAATTTGTTAACGGGATAAAATCTAGATAAATATGATCCAAAGTATTAATAGTAATGGTAACAAATTATTTAATTGTTGCCTTGAATATAAGTTATTTTGACTTCTTGCAGACCAAAGATGTATGCTGTATATATATAATATATATATATATAACAAAGTGTTAAACCTAACGGCGCTGTGCATGTATCTACATTAATAAATGCTTTTTTTTTTGTCATCGACCTTTGAGTAAACTTCAAGTCAGGTTTTGTGATTAGAAGAATTTTACGTTAATATCATTTTTCTTAATAAAAACTGTATAGTTAAAACTGATTAATGAAGCTTGTAAACTTAAGGATATTTTCGAAAGTGTGCTAGTCGTTCGGAAGAGCTATTTGTATTCGACATAATAAATGGATACTCATACTTAATTTTTTTGTAGTATTTATAATTTCTGACCATGATGAAACTTGGTAGTTTGATAACAGTGACAATTTTCTCGAACTTAATATTTGTCATCTTGCAACACGACATTTTTACTGTAACTACAACAATTTTGGAGGTGAAATATTTCATGAGATCCTTTAGCCCTAAATTAACAACGGATCCATCCCATCGGCTTAAAAAAAAATTTAGCTATTTACTCAAATTACTTGTGCATTTATGATTTTGGTGGTGATAGGGCCCATAGCAACAACCACACAAAAAATAAAAAAAAAACATTGCAATTAATTCCATTACTTACTGCTTCGTTTGTCAGTTATTTGCGTGGCCAAGTGTTTAGCGTGACCGAACTGTGGATCTGAGGATTAATTTTCGTATCACGTTCCAGCAAAAATGCGCTCTGCACTTTGAGTCCGATGGTGTGCTTTAGATCTTTCACGCCCGGATTGACGCATTCCGTCTCGAGAGCAAAACCGCACCAATGAGTTTAAAATGTGTGTATAATCTTGTTTTATCATATTATACTTCATTTGAATAATGATGTAGCGATATCTTAAGGAAAAAAAAATGTTTCTGTGGAATAAAATAAATTAGGCTTAGTGAAATCATGTTTCACTCGATCATGGATTTAGTTTTGCCGAAAAGGCCTAACTGCTTAAAATAAAACCGGTAGTTGTTCTTCTACATATTTAAACAAAAAGAAAAAAAACTTCAGAGTTAAAGTGTATTCAATAAAATATTTTTATTTAATTGTATGTATTAAAATGGAATCGCAAAATAACTGGATTTGGTTTGAGTTCCAAACGAAATCATGAGTGTTTGTGAATTTCCCGATATTTTTTCTGATCGTGGAGAAAGTCGTACTAGTTTTGAATAAAAAAAAAGCGTCTATTTGAATACAAATGTAGTTCTATTGATTTTTAAACGAATGAGTGTTGTTCCGCAGGACTTGAGAAGAGGAACTTGGATAAAAGAATAAATTAACATATCTAAATGAAAACTTTTTCAAGTTTAGTGAAAAACCACAGTAAACGGAACAGTCTGTCAGAAGTCTGATATTACAGAAACTAGTTTCGACACCATCTTCCAACCTCTTCAGTCTCACGTTGTATTCAGGCAGGAAAAACTGGTCAACAAACGCCTACGTGATCCTTGATCTTGGAATTTCCTTAAGGACACAGGAGGTCAGAAGTTAAGTTCAAAGTGACCTTCGGAGGTGTTGAAATTAGGCAAACTTTTGATTAAACAACTTCCCACGATTATTCTTTTTACTGTGGTTTTTGACCATACACGATATTATGTTCTTTTATAATTTTTCAAGTTTATTTTGTGCGACGTTTCGAGCAGACACCCTTCGTCAGCCAGTAAAGATCGTGTTACAATGTAGTTAAGCTATGAGCCACTTATCGTAAACACAGTGACACTGCGTGTGGTGTTTCCCAAATTTAAAACAAAGATAAATGTAGAGTTTTATAAAATTAAAACTTTTTAAGAAACATTTAGAAGGATATAGGAAGCCCTAAAAATTATGGCGTTTTTTCTACTTATATCTAGATTAAAATGAACGATTTATTTTAAAAACCGTTACATAAATAGTTATATAATAATCAGTTATGCTTATATATATATATATATATATATATATATATTGTCTGTGTTCTC